CTACTTCCATAGTGATGCTCGGCATCCAAGGAGGGGTCGCTATGAGTTGGGGCTGATTCAACGGCACACAACAACAACAACATATATATATATATATATATTATAGAAAGAAGTATTTTAAAATACTCCAAACTGTAAGAGAAAAACTCCATTAAATCTTGGCTATACTTCCAGTATATGTGTATGTGCATGCATACATGTATTTGAAACGAAGTGGAATAATTATAACTTCTCTTTTTAATTTGCACTGTATCTTTCTGTGTCACTTAGTATTTGTCTACAACATTAGTTTTAATTATATAATAACTAATACAATCAACTGTTGTTGGCTTTTTAGGTTGGTTGTAATTTTTTTACTATTTTAACAATACAAGGGTGCTCAACCTTTTAATTGAATTATGAAGCATTTACCTAATTGCTTTCATCCTGCTTAGTTTTTTGAGAACATTTTGAGTTCCAGGCATTCTCTATTAAATTTTAAATATTTCCCCTTACAGGAGTCAAGGGAGGGATCTGGCATCCTAAACCATTATCAGTTAATACTTCAGATATAGTGCATAAAGATAAAATGAGATGATGTGTACGTGTAAAGCCCATAGCCCAGGGTTAGTCATGCATTCTTCCAGTAATTGTTTTTGTCTCTAAGCTTTATACCATGAATTAGCAGGAATGAGATTTAGGATTGTTTTTTAGGAGGTGAGCCTAGGGAGAGAGGAATACAAAGTAGAAAAGACAGTAGGGTGAAATGTTGTATTCTTCATCTTCTTGTTTTTAATTTTTTTTTCAGTCATTCACAAGCATGTCTCACTATAAAAGCCCTTTTTCATTAATTTGCAAAAGCATACATCCTTGCTGCAGTATTTTTTTTATCTCCTTAGTAAGACACTTTCTATAAGTTAGTGAATTATGTATGTTTTTTGACTCCATGACCCACATCAGAAATTAAAACTTTGCCAGCCACTGAGCTGTCCATGTGTGCTCCACCCCAATCAATAAGACTTTCTGCCCTTGCCCAAAATTAGCACTATCCTAGCTTTCATAGTAATTACTTCCTTGCATTTCTTTGTACTTTTATTACAGAAGTATATATCCTTAGACTCTATATTTGAGTCTTCCCTTCACCCACCCCCTCCCTTTAAAAATTTTTTTTATTGTGATTTGGGTCAAGTTTAGATTGATTTTTCATCCAGCAGTTCATACACATTTTGTTTTGTGACATTGATTACAATCCTCACAAATGTAACTGCTCTCTTCTCCTTTCCTCCTTATAGGTTACCTTTTTTACTGTGTTCTTCTTTCCTTTGCATTTCTGCCTGCCTACCTTTCTCCCTGCACAAATGCTGCCTTTCTGATCTCCCGTGGTTGATGGTTCTAAGGAGTACATCTCTCTGGTATAACTGTTCAGCTCGTAGGCCTGTCTATTGTTTGGCTGAGAGTTAAGCCTTGGGAGTGAGTTCAGTTCCGGGCCCAGAAGGTAACCAGGGACCATAGTCTTGGGTGTTTCACCAGTCTCTAACAGACCAATTAGTCTGGTCTCTTTTATGTTTTTATTATTGTTCCACACTTTTCTCCCACTCTCTCTTGGATCTCTAATTTTTATTCTTGGCTGAGGGGTCGGCATTAGTAGCCAGGCACCATCTAGTTATTCTGGTCTCAGGGTTATATAAGCTGAGGTTCCCATGGTCCATTAGTCCCATGGACTAATTGTTTCTATTTGTCCTTGATTTTCTTCACTCGTCTTTGCTCCAGATGAGGAGAGACCAATAGTTGCATCTTAGGTGATTGCTTGCAAACTTTTAATACTCCAGTCACTACTCACCAAAGTAGAATATGTGCTATCCTTTCGGAACTGACTCATAGCAACTCCTCCTTGGGTTTCCGAGGCAGTATCACTATGGAAGTAGATTGCCCAACCTTCCTTCCGAGGAGTGGCTGGTGGGTTTGAACCATCAGCCTTCTGGTTAGCAGTCAGGTGCCTTAGGCACTATGCTACCAGAGTTCCTAAGTAGGATATAGGACAATATTTTTGTATACTTCATTGTGCCAGTTAAGCTTGATGTCCCCTATAACATTAGTCCTGAGCCTGCAGACTGAGCGACTCACTCCCTCAGGTGCTTGGTTGTGGCTTAGACGTTATCTTAACTTTGAACCTTGTTAGCTCTATTATAAACATATATATATGGGCATTTTTATAGCACAAAGAAATATGTATGTAGAAATATTGTCTATGAAACCTGTGTATTGTCATAGGTGTGTTCCTGTTTGCCTACCCACAGCTGATCATCTTGCCTGTCTTCTGATATGGCCACCTGTAGATTAATGTTTGTTATTACTGATAGTGCAGTATTGTGTACGTAATACTCACCTTTGTTGTCTGTACCTCTTGTCTACCTCTCTAAGTCTTCCTTTTCCTTAGTGATGCTATGCTGGTCACATGTTTTTGTTACATTGCCTTTCCCTTCACACATATCAATACATGTCTGTTAATTAGCTAGCAATTTTCTCTCCCCTGCCCTTCGATCCCTAGTACCCAACAAAGAAAATTTCCTTCCTTATATAAACTTTGCTTGACTTCCTGTAATAATGGACTCATACAATATTTGTCCTTCTGTGGTTGACTTATTTCCCTCAGCATAATGTCCTCCAAGTTCATCCACATGATTAGGTGTTCCTTAAATTCTTCATTTTTCTTTAATGTTACATAGTATTCCATTGTGTGTATGTACCATAGTTTGGTTATCTATTCAACCACTGATGGGCACTTAGGCTGTTTTCATCTCTTTGCTGTTGTGAATAGTGGTGCGGTGAACACGGGTGCCTGTATCTGTTCGTGTCTTGGATCTTACCTCTTTAGCATATGTTCCTAGTAGTACAATTGCTGGATCAAATGATACTTCTCTTTCCAAAATTTTAAGGAAGTGCCAAACTATTTTTAGCAATCGTTGTACCATTTTATAGTCCATTTTATAGATTGTTAATGAGTCTTTCTCCAATCCTGATGTCATGTTCTTCTTCATATAGCCCAGCTTCTTGGATTATTTGTTCAGCATATAGATTAAATAAGTATGGTGAAAGAATAGAACCCTGATGCACTCCCTTCTTGATTTTAAACCATGCAGTGTCCCCTTGTTCTGTTTGAACAACAGCCTCCTGGTCTATGTACAGGTTCCTCATGAGTACAATTAAGTGTTCTGGAATTCCTGTTCTTCTCAGTGTTATCCACAGTTTGTTATAATCCACATAATCAAATGCTTTTGCATAGCCAATAAAACACAAGTAAACATCTTTCTGGTATTTTTTGCTTTGAGCCAAGATCCATCTGACATCAGCAATGATATCCCTTGTTCTGTGTCCTCTTCTGAATCCAGCTTGCAACCCTGGAATTCTCTGTCAATATACTGCTGTAACTGTTTTTGAATTATCTTTAGTACGATTTTACTTGCATGCTATAGAAATTATATTGTTCAATAATTTCCACATTTTGTGGGATCACCTTTCTTTGGAATAGGTACAAATATGGATCTCTTCAGTCAGTTGGGCAAGTAGCTGTCTTCCAAATCTCTTGGCATAACTGAGTGAGTGCCTCTAGCGTGGCATCCGTTTGTTAAAATGTCTCAATGGGTATTCCATCAATTCCTGGAGCCATGTTCTTCACCAGTTCTTTCAGTGCAGCTTCACCTTCTTCCTTCAGTACCATTGGTTCTTGATCATATGCCACCTCCTGAAATGGATGAAGATTGACCATTTCTTTTTGGTACAGTGACTTTGGTACAGTGTATTCCTTCCATCTTCTTTTGATGCTTCCTGCGTCATTAAATATTTTGCCTATAGAATCTTTCAGTATTGCAACTCAAGGCTTAAATTTTTTCCTCAATTCTTTCAGCTTGAGAAAGCTGAGTGTGATCATCCCTTTTGGTT